TGTCTGGAGAATTACGGTAATACACTTTCATGGAGCCATAACATAACGGTTGAAGAATGATGAGCTAACATGAATTGCAATGAAAAAGTGTGAACAGCCTAGAACCAATAACCTGATGATTTGTGCACAAGTGTGGTGAGAGCAGGAGAGATCAGCTCTGTGTCTGTACATGAGACGTCACAGTGCTGGCCATGCCCCCTGCACTGACCGGAGATGCTGCTATCTGCCTTGTGTCTCCCTCCCATTGGATTCTTCAGGAAAGATTAACCCCTTTTACCATTAGAAGCACAGACTTAAAACTTGCTTAGCTTATGTATATATTGCTGACCATCAGATTTACAGTACTATATTTTTTTTACATAACTCGGACAAACACTTTAAGGTTTTTTGGCATTTTATATATTAAATGCACTTATGTGAATTAATTAATAGTAATTTGGACTTTAAAAACCCATAATATAAAAAAATACCAAAATTTAAAAAAAAAATAATAAAGGTGAAGACAATTTTGCATGTTTTACAATTTTGCAAATCATGACATCTAGGAGTTTTTTCAATATTTTATTTATTTTCAGTACACCAAAATACATGGAAGTTAGATGAAAATAATCAAACAGGTTTTTAGTCACAGACCTGTGTAATGATAGAAATCTTGACAAATGTCCTCGAGTTAACCCAAGAGAAGATGGCCAATGCTATAGATGAAGCATTTCGAGCTTATACAAGATATGAAACAAGTACTTGGGCATACCACAACCCAATGATAATTAAATGGAAAGGACAAAGAAAATGATCTAGGTGGACATTAAACAACACTATATTAAAAAAGAAAGACTTTGTACAGAAAATGGAAAAGGAATTGGCCTTTTTATTTAAAGAAAATAGAAAAAAGGAGACATCAATGCAGAACCTCTGGGACACAATGAAGGCCTATACCAGAGGTCTGATAATTGACTATACAAGGAAGAGAAATATAAAGAAAAGATAAAACACTTAAAGGAATTGACAATGAATATAAGAGTCTTGAAAAAGAACTACAGAATTCCCCACAAAAGAAGGGCATTAAAGTAAGAATGGATACGATCAAACACAAAATTGGGTTAATGGAAAAAGAGGAATTAGCCCCCAAAATTAGGGGCGCTAAACAGAATTACTTTGAAAATGCTAATAAGCCAGTCAGATGGTTGGCATACAAACTGAGAAAAGAGAGAGACTCAAAGAAGATATTGCAGTTAATGGATGATCAGGGCAAACCTGTTATGGGAATGAAGAGAAGAAAAAAATTATACAAGACTACTACTGTAAACTATATGATCATGAGAATACAGAAGAGGCAGGAGTGAAACAATACTTACAGGAAGCCAATTTACCCCAGATACCCAAAGAAACTGCAACAATGCTGGAAGGCAAAATAACTATGATGGAGCTAACTGAAACACTTAAAAAACAAAAGAATGGGAAGGCCCTGGGCCCGGATGGGCTACCAGTGGAATTTTATAAGACCCTGCAGGAATCATTGTCTCTTCCACTGTTAGAAGTTATGAATGAGGTGTTGTCAGAGAGAATACCCAAAACATGGTCAGAAGCATATATTACACTTTTACTAAAGGAGGAGGCCAATTTACTACAAATTAAGAATTACAGACCAATTTCCCTGTTAAATTCAGATTGTAAATTGTTTGCTTCAATATTGGCAGAACAACTTAAAAAATACTTAAGTAGTTTCATTCACTCTGATCGAAATGGGTTTCTGCCAAAGAGACAAATTAAAGATAAAGATTAAAGAGGCACATCCTGAAAAACAATTGGAATTGAT